GGGGGGGGGGAGAGTTTTTTGTCCATACATGCAGCATAAATCCTGTTGTGTTTGTGTCTCTCACCAAAGCTGGTGTCAGGAATGGCTTTGATACTGCACATTCACAAATTACCAATTTTTCTGCTCTTTCAATAGCTCTTTTCCATCTGTCATATCGTCACCCAATAAATACCAACTGAAGCACTGAAATATCTTTCTAAGAACTTGGTTAACTCTCTTCACAATCAATTTGCAGTGTTCCTAACAGATTTCACATATGCCATCACCCACAAGGATCAAAGAGACTCCAGGTTCTCCTCTGGAGCAGAGTCTCGTGGGACGGACGCAATTTTTTACTGCTTTTTATAGTGTCTGTGAAGGACTGGTTGGAGGGAGCAGAGACTTGTGCCTGTGCAGTGTGCAAAACCACACTGTTGTGCCCGAAGTGTTTGTGTGGATTTGAAAGCCTACTGGCAGACTAATAACTTTGTGCTTAAAAAGTTGACAAAGACTTCTAATCAGTCATCTTGCCATTGGGATCAGAAAGCACTTGGAATTAATCCGTGTAAAACTGTGGGGCTTGTATTTTAAATAAAGGGTGATTATTTGGTTGATTTGGGAACATTCCTGGTTTGAAATGCAGTGTTTATTAAAGGGGGTTAATGAAACACCTTGATGGATAAAGGATGTTTATTAATGAATCTGCGTGTTGGGAGATCGAACCTCTTGTCCCTGATGCTTTTTTTTGATTCCACCGTCACACTAAGGGACCCTGATCAGCAGTCGTGCTTCTCTTTAGGATTTGTAGGATTTGGTTGCTATATAGTTGGCAATATAAGAGCTGCAGTACCGTAAATAAATTCATTTATTTAATCTTACCACAAGTCTTTTTACTGGACTTAATTGATTATTTGGTGCATATATTTAATCTTATTGTGTGAAAAAGCTGCTATGGAAAATATGTAGATGATAATAAATATGTAAACATAATTGATTTTTCATGTTATGAAAATGTTATGGAGGAACTGATATATTTTATTATAAAATAACGGAAATATGCTGAATTATCTCTGATAAAGCTTTACTGGAAATTGTTTCAGTGTTGGCAGCCCCTCCATGGTTTTTATTTGTGTTGGTTTTGAGACAGTTTTGTGTTGAACAATACATTTAATTAACCTTGTAGTTTCCCTTTCATCATCTTGTTGTAGTCCTCTGGCAGTGTGAGCAGGCGTTGTGCTCTGCGCTCTGACGCGGTGTGCTTGGATCTAGCCAGGGGAAAGGCTTGTGGATTCCCCGGAACATCTCTAACAGCACAGACCTGTAGTTAGGGCAGGGGACCGTAAAGGAAAGCGGTGAATTGTAGTGTTTCATCTCAAACCCCAAAATACAGGTTTGTGTGTCTCCTGTTGCTAAATATGTTCTCTTGAGTTTTTCATTCTGCGTGGTTCCCCTTGCTCTAAGGAAAAAAAAATGTGGTTAAAGGGTTCTCATTTCTGCAATTCCTGGCAAAGCTGCAGTTTCATAACTCCACCAAACAGAATTGCGCGAAGAAAATTATCGCTAAGCCATTGAAATGAAGTGAGAAAATCCACAATATTTCTACAGGGCACATGTCCCCCACAGACACTCTTTTTAAATTTCTACTTTGTTCTTGCTAATATGCAAGCACTGATGTTGAACCTTTCCAACAACCCCTTAGCTCGGCGCTAGAACGCCAGAGATTGTGTTGAGAAGTTTTGATGCCATGCTTCACACGGACGCAAATATTTTTATCCTTCCTTTTTAGACAGTTTTTTTACATGTTTACCTGATCTTCGAGTGCCGGTTGCTAGCGCAGAAGAATGGCGTCGGGGCGGCACCCGGCACTGCGTGTCCCGTCGGTGGCGAGGGCC